AATGAGCATCATCTTATCAAATCTCATAAGCCAACTCATAAGTTGTCAAAAAGGGATTGAAACCTTAGGTTACCTGATTTGAAAGAGTCAAAATGGGATTGAAATCTTGAAAATTTGGGGGAGTCAAAATAGGATTAACACCAACGAGGGGTTGGATCAAGTGGTAAGCGGCTTGTTCCAGCTTAAGTAAGGTCTCGAGTTCAAGACCTTGTGTAGGTAGCAACCCCCCCTGGGAGACTCACCCACCATTTTCAGGTGTGCGACGCGGGTCGGTCCGGATTAGTCGGGGCGAAGCCCCAGATACCGGGCGAGAAACTAATAAAAAAAAATAGGATTAACATTTTGAAGTATTTTTGTGAAAGTTGTACGTAGATGAAAAAATGCACATTATGATCTAGTACCCTATACATGAAGCAATAAATTAAATAATATTAGACAAAATCATACTATAAAGACCAACAAGTACCTGATTATAAAGACCAACACCTAATGATGCTTCAACATTGTTATTCCATACTTGATTTTTTGAATTAGAAACAAAAAAAAAAAAGAAAAGAATATGTCAGTTATATTAAATCTATCAACATTATACACCACTAAGATTCTACTTGTTATACGTGTAACATAATGCATTTGCAACAAATAATCAGTCAAAAAGACATCTTAATTCTTATCAAACACTTCAAGTTATAGATTTTGAAGTACAAAATTTTGCTAGATTTCAATAGCTATTTCTCTCATCTTTGGCACCATATTAGAAGCTTTTGCACCTTTTGGCTTTTTTTTTTTTTTTTCTTTTGGTAATTGGCTTTTGATTCTAGCATTAGTCAATCCTTTTTTTCTCAAACATAAAGGATTAAATATCGCATGGTTATCATCTACATGCATTTCTGTAATAACAACTTCAGTTGAGCTTTCTAAGCTCTTTCAATCAACTCTAAAGCCTTCATTAATTTCATCTTCACAATTTTAGTCCCTTTAACAGTGAATGAATCTTTATACAAAAACATTGTGACCAAGATGGTTCAACTCACTAAAATGTATAAGGCAAATAGATTTTTCATGGCTAGAAGTTGAATCAACCAATTCATAAACAACCCTTTTTTTTGCATTCTTTGTCCATTTCTACATGATATATCAAACTGGTATCTTGTTCACATTATTCACAAGAAGTACCCTTAAAGCATGGCGACATAGTAACCCCAAAGTCTCAAATAACTTGCAAGTACAAGAAATACTAAAATCAGATTTATCAAGCTCCACTTTCTAGACTACTTTGGAACATGACTTGTCAAGTTCATATAAAGGTCTTGTCCCATCCTTTTCTACCTCAACACAATTTAGGCCTAAACCCTTGAAAAACTCTTCTTTGAACATTTGAGGCACCTTATTGTGTAGATAGTAGTAGCATGTCCCAAAATTCCTCCATGAATAATCAAATCAACAAAGGAACCAGTTTTGCAATGGAAGTCTTCATCTCATTCTCCTTGAAGCATATCTTCTGCCTTTTGTTCATAATATCCAATAACTTGAATGACAGTTAATGAGGTACTCAAAATTTGATGAAAAATACTATTCATACTCTCATTTCTTTGAGTAGATTTCATTCTAGTAGAAAAAAAAATCTACATTCAATGTAGTACACCATTTTTCTAGAGTCTCATATAACTTATAAAGAAACAATACAGCTTGCAAATTAGCATAGGCAATTAAAAGAAATAAAGCATATTGGTCATGTTTATTTATTCTTCTCTTTTAATTTGTATTCTTAAAGAAATAAGGCATGCTGGTAAAAAAGAAATAAAATTACAATAAAATACCTATTAAGCCATCCATTATTCTCTAGATTGAAGGTCTTCATCATATCATTCCAAGTGGATTAAAGTTCCATTTCATCTAGAAAACTGCTAAGACACTTATGGAATTTTGAATTGAAATCTAGTTTCCATAGATTCCAACAGGATGTTTCTTGGCATTATTAGAAGGATTCCATAAACATAATCGATGACGTGATTCAGGGAATACTTTCTTAATAGCATTTGCCATTGCTTGATCTTGATTAGTGAAATCACTCTTAGGCTGTCTTCCTCCCATAGCTTCTAAGAATGTCTCAAACAACCAAACAAATGATTTAGTAGTCTCATCAGCCAAAAATGCACAATCAAATAACATGTTCCTCCAATGATGATTAATTTCAACAAAAGGGCACAAATGAACTTGTATTGATTAGTTCTATAAGCAATATCAAAAATGATGACATCTCTAAATGAATCATAGTCCAACTTCGATCTACCATCCCTCCTAAAGAAATTTGTCATTGGATTTTCTTGGTCTACTTGCACTGAATAAAAAATAATGGATCTTCAACTTGTCTACGCTTGAAACGATTCATGACTTTGACCATCCCCTACTTCAATCATCACTGTTCTCATAGAATGCAAGTAATTATGGCAATCTTTTTTAGTAAATCCAACATGATTTATCCTACCTAATTCCTTGGCCATGAGTAAGTATGATTTTGTTAGTTTAATCCCTACATTTACCATTGAACTCATTACACCACCTTGTGCTTCTAATATCTTCCTTCTAGATCTTAAATTGTGCCTGTCTTCCTAATTTGCAAGTTCATGGTTGTGCACATCATTAAAGTGAGTAACCTCCCAAATTCCATTTAATACAATGAATCGAATTATGGCCTTAGATTCTATCATTGTCTTTAAATGATTAATCTTTTTTACATTATAAGAATCTTCATCCCTACGAAACCCTTGCTTTGAACATATGTATTCTTGTTGTCAAAGAGTACCATCAACAAACCACATGTTCCCTTTCCTTATATTGAAGCCCTTTGATAAAGCATATTGACTATAAAGATGATATGCTTCATTTTCATATTTGACTTTTACACCAACTTTAAGCTTATCATCAAATTCAAAAGATCTTCCAATTTCAGAAGCCATAGAACATATTTGTAGAGAACATCATTTGTTATTTTAAAAATTAAAAAATTTATTATGTCTATTTTAACAAATTACCAAAAAAAAAGCATAAAAACAACTCACAGTAGAATTGCCTAAAGTATACAGTAATTAAAAAAAAAACCTCTTTTGGAAAAGAATCAAGAAGATGAAGAGGACCCACTTTTTGATTCACAAAAGAAGTGCAATTTAGATGGAATAGGGAAAATCTTTAACATAAGTATCTTTGTATTTTTGTATTTTTGCCTAAGGTTACGTTTTAAATGAGGAGAGATAGTAAATGACGTAATTGACTGCAATGCCAAAAGTTTGGAAAATAATGAATTGAAAAAAAGAAACAAAACGTGGGAAAGTAGGAAACAAATTTTATTTTGGAGAGATTTACCGTAGTTACATTAGAATTTGTCGTTTGTTGTCCTCTCCATTAGGTGATTGATGAGTTGTAAATAAAAAAATGATGTGGTGTTTTTTAATTGGTCCGAGATACCGTTGATGTGGTATCCAGGAATATAAAAGACTTTATATGCAATTTCGTTTCCCTTTCCATCTTTTTATTTTAAAAAAAAAAATCAATTTCCATCTATTTTCTTCATTTCCCACTTATAAATTTTTCTTCCTTCTAGAAAAAATAGGTGACTGTAATTATTGATCACAGGTCAAAAGCAGATATCCAATTTCATCTTTTGGATCAGCTCCGGGAATGATTTTCGTTAAGTGATATTATTCTCACACATTCAATTATTAATATTACATATTTTTATTTAAATTTATTATTATATAATTTAATTTATAAAAAAATATAAAATATAAAATTTTGAAAAAAAATGTAAGATAAAAATATGATAAATAATTATATTAAAAGGGTGTATGGTATTAACTATTTAGAATTTTACAGTAACTCACCTGTTTTTGTCACCTATTTTTATTTAAATTTATTATTATATAATTTAATTTATAAAAAAATATAAAATATAAAATTTTGAAAAAAAATATAAGATAAAAATATGATAAATAATTATATTAAAAGGGTGTATGGTATTAACTATTTAGAATTTTACAGTAACTCACCTGTTTTTGTCACCTAATAAATTATTAATAACAGCCCAAAAAACGCCATAATTACTTAGCATGGCCAACAAAGTACAATTTATTGATTATGATTACCTCTCATAATTAGCAAAACTAAACTCCTTAACTTACATGGGAAAGCAGCCATTCCTCAACCGGGAAATCCCTTCAATTGCAATGCATCAACATCTCCATGATGTTCTCCATAGTTAAAAGAAAAGAAGAAGAAGAAGAAGAAGAAAAAAACTGAAAATTAACAACTTTCTTTTTTCTTTTTTTTCTTTTTTACCTCTTGCTTGATGGCGTTTGTAAGGGAATTGTCATGTCGTGGTCTGGTTTAGGATGCAACTGAATTCAGTTTTCATTAGCTAAATAATATCTTGTAGTTGGATCTGGTTATGGTTTTTTGGGAATTTTGTTTGAGGGCATGGCGTCTTTGAATTCTAGATGGGATTGGCTTTTAGTCCCACCCTCCGTATTAATCGCTGGCTGCTTTTTCTTGCAAACTTGTGATCAATATCTAATCTTGTGCATATTATTTGCTCTTCATGATTATGATAATTGTTTGAACTCCCAAAACTTGAATCCTGCTTTGAATGGATAGTGCTTGATAACTGTAAAATCGAATCATGTTTGTGGATAGTTGCTTGATGACTATAAAATTGAATCCTGTTTGGCTCTGTAAATGAACTAATGACTGAAGGAAAAATGGGTTGTTGACCATTTGAGAGAGCATAATGATAGTCTGCAGCCAAGCAACATAAGTCTGGAGGTGTGGAGACTAATCACATGGTAAGATAAGTTCGGTAGAGCCTGCTTCCTCTCTTTTGGCTTGCAGACTCCAACCACCAGCAGACCAGATAATGTGCGACTAGGAATATTTATTATCTTGCTTCATAGCAAACTTCTGTTAAAATGAGCAATCTTGCTGCTTCCCTCATCAATGGATGTATGTGTGTTCGTAGTCAAATTTCTGAAGAGATTTGAAATAGAGTATGCTTAGGTGTTATTGAGGATCTCCAACAGAAGCTTATGAAAAGCCTGTGTGTGAAATTTTTCTGATACTAACTGACTGGACAATGTCAGAGGATTTGTAACTTCATATCACGGAGGAGTTTTCTTTAGCTGAAGATGTTAGCTTCTTTTAATTTTGTTGATTTCATAGGGTTAGAAGCTATTGATTGATTCTACATTACTACAGCTTTCTTGGTATAATCTTTGTTATTTGGTATGTTCTTTCCCTGTAAGCAATGAAAATACTTAAGACTGTAGGCAATGTGATTCATTTCTTATAAATGCTTCAGGTAGACAGATTGGTAGCACATAGTTTCAATTAAATAGTTGTTTCATCTTATAAGCTCTGGCAGTTTGTATTTTGTACGGATTGAAATTGATGATGAGGAGCTTGCCCGTTTTGCGGAGCATGTTGACAAGGATAATAATGGAATTATCACTTTTGAAGAATGGAGAGATTTCCTTCTACTGTACCCTCATGAAGCTACCATTGAAGTATTGAGAACATTTATCATCACTGGAAAAGAGTTTGCCTTGAAGATATTGGAGAACATGCTGTTATTCCAGAAGGCATCAGCAAACACGTTCAGCGAAGTAAATATTTTATTGCTGGTGGAATAGCTGGAGTAGCTTCACATACTGCAACTGCTCCTCTTGATCGTCTGAAGGTGGTTTTGCAAGTTCAGGCTACGCATGCTCATATTTTGCCAGCTATAAAGAAAATATTTAAGGAAGAGGATATTCTGGGGTTTTTCCGAGGCAATGGTTTCTCAATTTGGTATTGGGGATTTTTAGTTCAACCAATTGGTTTATATCTGTTTCTTCATTTTTCCTCTGATCCCATTAAGGCTGATCTTTGTTCTTCTTTATCAGACTGCAAGCTCAACGTTCTAATACTACAGATGCTTATAAAGGAATGCCTGATGTATTCTGGAGAACCCTTTAGAAAGAAGGTTATAGAGGTTTCTACAAAGGACTTTTTCCTAATCTTCTCAAGGTTGTTCCAGCTGCAGGCATTACTTATTTGGTGTATGAAAGCATGAAAAAGAGTCTAGACCTCTAGTAGTTATCAGTGAAGAAGCAGGAGCAGTAGAAAAGGTAACGACGAAAAATTACTAAACAAGTAGGTAATATGATTATTTTGAGTTTTTGTGATAGATGTTAGATGATAAATTTTCCTCTATAGAGAACAGGGTATATAGTTTTTTAGTGAAGTTTTTTCCTGAGGCTTGTCTAAGCTAAATGTTGAGAAACAAGTTTTATATGACATTGATCTTTGACACTTGACGGTAAGCTGATGATATAGGTATGATGCTATTCCAATTCCGTTATCTTCATGGTTCTCTCTGTCAAAATGCACATTTACGGGATTCATTTCGCATGCATCCTGGTCGACTGATAATTAAGATGAACTCGGCATAGATAACTTCTATAAGATAATGTTGATTGTGTCAAAAGTTTGAAATGCAGCTTGCCTCTTGTGATTTCTTACTTATTGGTTCTTGCATCATTTCTTTGACCTGGAACAAGCTTCACTCTTACGATCTGCTTTTAGCATTTGTGATGCTTATTATCATGACTCTGACTTTGTACCGGGGCTAATATAAACACTTCTTGAGCTAAATACCTTAACTGAAGGTATTTAACTTCAAAAGAAGGGATCAAGAAAAATTAGAACTGTACAAAAAATATATATTCTTTTTTTTTTTTGGATGGATGAAATTGACTAAACTGTAAAAAAAAACAAAAATGGAATTGACAAAACAATTTACAAAATTTGAGAATTGAGAATTTTTTTCAGTGACTTGAACCTTTTCTGGAATGGCATGTGGATGGACTGTCAGTCTATCACTAACCTGTACTGGAATGGCAAAATGTGTGGATTAACGGAAAGACTGCCTTCCAAAGTCTTCTCATGACCTTTCTCAATTCAGATAAACAGATTAGAAAAGAAACTAAGCAGCCCACATCAAGCACCAAATTTCATGTGGGAAGAAAAGAATATGAATCTAGAAAATTTTCAGGGGAAATGCTTAGGGGTCTACTTCTTAGAGATATTTTGGTCATTCGAGTGTTGGTCTTTTATAGTTTTATAGTCTATAAACAATTTTTTGTACTTTTTTTCATCTTTAAATTATGAAAAATGTAATTTTTTTAATCTTTTTATCAGTTAATTTCAATAGTATATGTATATATAAATAGATTTAATGGATTAATTAACTAAATGACTAAAAAATATATATTTTTCACAGTTTAAGAGGAAAAATGTGTTAAAAAAAATTTAGGGACTAAAAGTTAAAACTAAAAATTTAAGGACTCAAAATGACATTTAACTTCAAATTTATTAAGTATAACACATAACACCATAAAGTGCAGATATTAGCTAGCATGGCCAATGAAGTACAACTTATTGAATATTATTACCTTTGTAATTAACATACCACTAGTAGTAACTCAACCAGCAAAACTAACAATAGCTATTCAAGCCTTCAATTAGTTACCACTAGGTTGAGCCCCCTCTCTCTCCAACTTGGCTGCTTGTTAAAAAGGGGAAAAAAAATGCAGCTAAACTCTCTACCCAACGTGGGAAAGTAGTCATTCCTCAATCTATCGACGAAATCCTTCCCAACGCAATGCATCAACATCTCCATGATGTTTTCCATAATTCAAAAAAAAAAAAAAAATGAAAATCAACAACTCAAACTACTAGTACCCTTTTTGTCTTTTCCATATTCTTGCTCCTAGAAAACGTAGTATGAAAAAACAAAAGCTGGAAGAAAGGCGTAACCTTCCCTTTGCCCTCTATGATGACTTGCCGTTTTTTACCCCTTCAGATATATATCTTCCACCTAAAAGAAGATGAAGATGATGAAGAGGCTACTCGAGTTAGGAACATATCGTCCCTCCTCTCTCATTCTCCTCCTCCTCCTTCTTCTTCTTCTTCTTCTTTCTTGACATTTCGATCCTACAAAACCTTGGAGCTCTCAAATGAAAGAGAATGAGAAAATGAAACTAAGATCACATTAATGTGCCTTTGTTAATTAGCATCTTCACCTATATAAAGAGGTTGGAGCTCGAAATGCAAGAGTGAAAAGCTTAATCTATCCTCACGCCTAATTAAGTCAATTAAAGAATAACCACAATAAAAGGACACAATAAAACATATCATCAAAGGAATGCTAAAATTCATTAAAAAAAAAGGATTGAAATACACTTAAAAATTAAGATTTTTTTTTTAATCTTATATCTTTAAAACACAAATTAAGAGTATAATAAATATACCCTTTCATAATTAATTTACCTAAAAATAATAAAAGTTGACTTGAATTTCATCAATTGGCTAATTAAAACTAATTACGTGATAATAAAACAAAAATAAAAGTAAACTTTTGTCATGTTTATGTAAATTAATTGTAAAATAATACATTTATTGCACCTTTAGCATGTAGTTTAGGACATAGGTTAGACAAATCTTAAAAATTATGTCATTTCAATAAACTTACATTAAAAAAAAAA